GCAGCTTTACTTTTCGGTATCGCCCGGTCTAAAAGCCAAGCCTCTACATAAACCTCAAGGCGATTTTTCTCGCTATCTGCCGAACATCAGACGGAGGAAGAAAAAGGCCTGGCCTTTCTGACCGTCGCTTGTCCGCGGATGACACGCTGGTAGGGAGACCACATGGCAACTTGATCATCCGAAGACGAAGGAGGCTCCTCTCTGTTGAGGGGAGAAATCTCCACCCCGCGCCGGGCTGCTGTAGCGAGGGGACTGCTTAGCAGGCTCGCGTTTCAGACCTCGCCGCTCACAACCAGTTCGGCGTCATGTCCACTCTGGGACTTCTCAAATGGGTTTCTGTTTATGCGACTACAGAGTTTGTGAGACGGTGAATATGTTCAAGCGATTGTCCGTTGCCTTGTGCGACAGAAGCAGACTGGCGGACGTTTTGTTACGGTTGTCATTCGCGTTTGGGAGGGTATATCACCGGTCTTCTAAACCTTATAAACGTATGATGAATCTCTTGAAATAGTATCGGGGATTGGAATCATGCATGACACCATGATGCAATAGCGACTTACAAACGGTATTAACAGTGAAAAGTCCTCGGTAGTTAGGATGGCGGCGACCAGTATTCGGAGAGTTTCGGGGTGACAGCTGGTTTCAAGAACTGAGAACGATAGCACCGCAATTAAGTTGCTAGCAATGTGACGCTGAAGATTGGAAGTCACATAACCTTAGGCAAACCGTTAATGGATGTTTGCCACGCTTGAACGCAGCCTCTCCACAGGTTGCATGGCATCAATAGAGCTGTTAGATTCATATCATATGATCATTGCCATATTCGGCCCGTTGGCGATCTTGTTAAGGGCTGGGTCAATCGTAGTCGCCAAGTTATTTCAAGATGTTAATAAGCGCTTAGATGAAGCATGGTTATCAAAGCATGGTCAGTTATTTCCTTCTGCTGCTAGACGTATACTTGCCCTGAATAGGCTTCGTTGATTATTAGCTGAATGAGGGCAATTTGACTTGCCTTGGCCCTCTGTTGACCACGAAGTGAGCGTTAGTATAGTTGCCATTTCATGGCTGTAGTTCGCATGGCCTTGGTATCAATCAAAGTCAGCGGTCATTACCTTTAAGGTTTGTTGACACATCTCAATGATAGTGCTCCTTTCATGAATCATGGAAATGAGGGCCCTTCATTGCGTGAGGGTTAATTTCGAAGCTCTTGGCCAAGGCTTCGTAATTGTAATCTGAAACGGCGGCTTGATTGTCATCAAAGTATCGTAGACGGATCAATAAATTGGGTTATTTGCTAGAGAGAAACTGGAACCGTGGCGACGTAGAAGAGGTAGCGCGACACAGAGCATGACTATTGCACAGACAGGACGAGATCATGAGATCGGTGCTTCAACCTTACCAATGATGTTGTACCACACAAAAAGGAATCATAAATTTTCAATGTTGCAAGTACCCGGAAGGTTTGAGTCTCATGATAACGAACTTCGTCGTTTCCCTGAGATCAGATTGAATCTCAATACATGTGTTATGTCCCGGCATCGCCTCCTTCCATAATTATTCAACGACACCACACACCAGTGGTTCAAACTCAACTTTTCCTCAATTTCTATGTTGTTCATACAGGCTGTACAAACGCTCGATGCACTAGCAAGGTATTATAGCCGCCACCCATAGAAATATATTTTGAATGGTTTGCCTAGGCACCAAAGGTACATCACATGTAGTTGTGTGGTGACCGAACAGCTATCTCTATCGAGCGGTTCATGCTTTATTCAGCATGGTTTTCCAGATCCTTTCAGCTTTAGTTCATCTATCAAGTTCATATGAGACATCACCGTCGTCATAATCGCTGACTTCTCGGCACTTTTTTCGATGAACGGTCAAACTCAGATCAATAGGCATAGTCTATTCACAAATCACCCAAATACCTTGGATGAGATGATTATCACCTTAAGCATGCAAAGATCAAGAGAGGCCTTTATACGTTCGCTGTTCTGCGGGTCTCTTTCTTACTCTCGTACTCGAGGCCTTAAAGTCTCTACACGTTCAATTGTGCCTAAGTCATCGAGAAAGTTTGAACACCATCTCGGTTTCTCAAACATAACTAAAAACCCAATTCAGGTTGATGAAGCATCAGAGATAACAAAACTCTTCAAGGAGCGGTCCAGCTTTATTGGAATTTCCAGATTACATATTTACAGGTCAAAACTCCCCATCCTTTGCGCCGTTATAATCTGTAGCAATCCAAGCAGTTACGCTCTCAGAGCACTTGTGACCGATTGGAAGTTTCACTCCCAAGGTATGGAAATATTCCACCACCGTAAGTCAAGTATTTCGGAAGAAGCTCCTCACCGTCTCCAAGAACTTGATGGTGTGTAGGTAAAAGAATACGAAAGTTGTCCCCACGGCAAGTAAGGCCCACTGGAACGATATTAGAATCACGATACACCAGAAACACCCAAAAGTAGGACTAACCTGGATCATGCTCCCACTGTTGCTGTTAATCGCCCTCAAAGCTTGCCCTATAAATGCTAATGCGCTTGCTTGTAACAAGAGAGCAACCCAACTCCCAAACCCAACAACTGCTCTTGGTAGATTGAGACTGCGACCTCCCTCTGTCCTTTCTAGAGCATCGAGGAACATCTCATCTGTTTGCATCAACTGTAGAATGAGTGCGATCATCAATGAGACTGAGGATGTTGCTGCTGCCCACGAGAGCCAGTACGCAGCGTCTGCCGTGGCTTGAACGGCGGCTGTTATGGTTGGGTCGGTCTCGTTGGTCAGGGGAACACCGAAGAAGTTTCCTCCCGTAGCAAATCCTTGGCTAGCCGAGATGGAAACGGAGACTGTGATAGTGGCAGTAAAGGCGACGAGCTGAAGATACGCAGAGAATGGCGGACTATGTAGTCGTGGCGCACTAGCATGCGGGGTTTGCTGGTTGTTGCCTATTGCTCCCGACACGCTTGATGGTCCTTGGCCGCTGGTTGGGGATCGTGGCGCTGATTTCGTAGCCATCTTCACCCAACAGAAAAGATTCAGCCTTGAACCAGTTTGCAGTTCAAGCGCGCAGAAGCTTGGGACTCAGGAGGTGAACAGGTGATGTGGTGAATAAGAATGTAAGAGTGTGACCCATGATGTCAAATGTGACGCAAGACACTACTAGTATTTATGTCGAGCCCAACAAGCTATCACATCACTGGATATCGCATCACGAGCTGATGGCCTGTGGCTTTGTTGGCGAAGCTAGGTGTTAGTCTTGGTTGCCTTACTGTAACTACACTGCGTTCGACTCAGCAAGAACGCCCAAACGGGGCAGTGCCACAGAAAGAGGCGCAGGCCGTGGCCACATAAATTTGCATATCTCCAAGACATTTCGAAGTACTGTGAGGCATGAATTTACTGGAATACGCTTCTCACGCTTTGCTTATCCCCGTATTCATTCTCTTCTTCGACTTTAACCTGAAATCGTTTCAACTTTCCGAAGGAATCATGGGCGCATCACAAAGTCGGGGTCCAACCACCCCCAAAGGTGTCACAGGTTAGTAAATATTGCCAGAAAACCTGTTTAGAAAAGCCTATATGAATTTCTCACTCTTCATTTTCGCAGGTTCAGTGCTACAAACACGACTGGAGTTGGAAGGAATGTTGGGGCAAGACGGCTTGGGCATCATCCGCCACATTGTCAGCCACCAGACACCTGGGTTTGTAACCCGCGTCATATGGAGTAGCGAGCGCAGCACTTTGCAACACGAGTACCTCTTGATATGTATCACAGGGCAAGATGAGACAGAGATCTCGGGGGACAGACTTGAACGAATGGGCGATTTAGGCAAGCAAGCAACGGACAACGAAGCAAAATTGATGTTCATACCGGCACCTTGTAAAGCAAGTCTGGTTCACCATGACGACAAGACTTTACACGATGTCAACCTTGAACCGTTACCTCCGACATTGGTGAAAATGGCCAACATACTCTCAATAATCCACCAAACAGCATCCGACTACACATTTCTTCACCACAACTGTTGGTGGTTTGCTAGACAAACCTTCACTGTTCTCTTTACTCGCTTCATGCCTGGCGGCTGGTCCGAGGAGGGCTGTTTTTTGTTACTGCCCCTGTGTTTCCTATTGCTTGGCCAGTTATTATCGTAAGAACGGCAGGCATGTCTGGATATGCGATGTTTGTTCTATGGAAGACTTCAAGAAAGATTGATGGTCAGATTGACGATTATCTGAAAAGTGTGGCGGAATGATCACGAGCTCAATCTTGGCATATCTTTCGGTCCGTATCACTTGGCGTGGAGAGGCTAGCTTTGAGGATAGACTTGTACATTGATTCAAAATTACTAGAATTTCTGGAAAGTACTCTATGGAGATGAGAAAACACAGTTTCTGATAAATTATCGCTCATCGTCTATCTCCCGACCAATTTGTAAGTTGTGACGCTTTGAAGAGCGGGGACGAAGTATGGACCTGCTTAGGAGTTTCTCCCTAGATAGACCTTCAAGTTGCCTTTGCTCGTGGACCTAAACCCGGGCTATCTATATAAATCAAGCGACCCAATTCTACTGCTATCGCCCACTGCTTCTGTCGTGGAAAATCTTTGAAGTCTCCAAGTCGAGTAGCTTGTAGCTATGTATGACCTTCCCGAGTCTTGTGTTGTACTTATAAAAGAGGGCGTAGTAGGTGTATAAGGACGTCGCGGACCGGAAAGCACATAAGTGGGCTAGAAGCGCTTCGAGAACGTTCAAGATAGCCGAGGATCTAGAAGGAGATGATATCCGATATGTCGGTGGTCGGTCCGGTCTTTGCAGCGTCCCTAGATGCGGGGTACTCGTGCTGCCAGCTGAGTGGCCGAAATGTCTTAGATATCCGTTGAATGATGCCTCGTACCAATCTGTATTTATCAGGAGCCTGTCAGTAAAACCTCAACAATCTGTGCGGGGTATAATTCATGTTTTGACGATCAGTGGTTTTCTAAGCTCCAAGCACAACGCGTCATGACCGTCACTACCGATAACGACCGCTCCACGGCACTGAGTTTCAGCGACCACTTTGTCCAGATCATTAACGGGAAAGCTTCTCCGACAGAGAGGAATCGACATGGAATTAACCCAGCGAATCTGACTGCAAAAGCAGAGGTCCCTGTTGCTACGCGCAAGGACCTTGATCTTGCCGTTGCTGCAGCAAAAGATGCCTTCAAAGCATGGTCGAAGGTTTCGTATGAAGACCGAAAGAGGGCCGTTCTGGCATATGCGGATGCAGTCGATGGCCACCGTACCCAGTTCAGAGACTTGCTTATTTCTGAACAAGGAAAGCCAGTATGAACCCTTAGACGAAGCCTTTTTTGTGGCATCAAACTGCCGACCTACGCTTACACTTTCTAGATCCCTCAAGCAGACGCCGAAACAGAGGCTGCGGTCAGCTGGATTCGTGGCATGGCCGGTATCCCACTACCCGAGGATGTTGTGGAGGATAACGATCATCGAACCATTATCACTCGTTATGCTCCTCTGGGTGTCGTCGGAGCTATTGTTCCTTGGAACTTCCCTCTGCTTCTGGCTACGGGCAAAATTGCGCCAGCCCTCCTGACCGGAAATGTGATCATTGTAAAGCCCTCGTAAGAATATTGACACAACATGCAGACTTTGATATGGTTGCTAATATTGCACGAATACGCAGACCTTTCACCCCGTACTGTGGGCTGAAGTTGGTTGAACTGGCTCAACAGTTCTTCCCGCCGGGAGTGGTCCAGTCTTTGAGCGGAGACGACGACCTTGGTCCTTGGTTGACAAGTCACCCGGGTATTGACAAGATCAGCTTCACTGGATCCACAGCAACGGGAAAACTGGTGATGCAGAGTGCAAGCAAGACTTTGAAGCGAGTCACGCTGGAATTGTGAGTGTACCGGTATTGCTGAATGCTAAGTAAGGCAAAGACTGATAATAAAAGGGGAGGAAATGATCCCGCTATCGTGTTCCCGGATGTTGATGTTGACAAGGTCGCCGAGAAGGTATGTTTAAGTTAACGACTTTATAGCCTGTCATCACTGACTAAAGCAACAAAGGTGGCATTTTTCGCCTTTCTCAACTCCGGCCAGGTATTTATTTCTACTTCCGCTACCATTTCCATTGCCCCACAACTATTCACTTACACTTTTCGATCAGATATGCCTGAATCTAAAGCGTATCTACGTGCACGAGACCATCTTCGACCGCTTCAAGGAGGCCTTAGTGAAGCACGTCAAGGGGTACAATCTTGGTGATGGCTCGCAACCTGGCGTCACTCATGGACCTCTGCAAAACTCGATGCAGTATGAGCGAGTCAAGACATTCTTTTCAGACATTGAGTCTCAAGGATGGCAAGTTGCTGTAGGCGGCAACATCGAGAAGTCTCAAGGGTACTTCATTACCCCTACGATCGTGGACCGCCCTCCTGAAAAGTCGCGTCTGGTTGTCGAGGAGCCCTTTGGTAGGTTCTCCAACTCTCTTCCAGCCATATGAATCTAGCCTCTGACACATCTCGAACAGGACCTATCGTTCCCCTCCTTTCCTGGAGCAGCGAAGACGAGGTCATATCCCGTGCCAATGACACCTCAATGGGCCTAGGAGCATCCGTGTGGACAAACGATTTGGAGAAAGCCGCAAAGGTTGCTAGGCAAATCCAAGCAGGCAACGTTTGGGTCAACACACACTTCGATCTCACACCCCTCGCTCCGTTCGGTGGGCACAAGGAGAGTGGCATTGGAGCCGAGTGGGGTGCAAATGGCCTGAAAGGGTTCTGTAACGTGCAGACCCTATTTCTTAACAAGAAAGTTGTTAGTTAAGTAGTTTCAATGTTGTCACTCATAGACTTCAACTTTATTCCAAAAGGTTGAAGCCCATGATGGATCGCTGGTTAGTTGACGCCTTATGGATTCCAATCTTATCCCAAACGATTGAAGCCAACAGTGGACCTCAAGTACCCATCAATCTTCACCATCACACAAGCCAGCTAGAAGATAGTCCTTGACTGAGGGCGGAAGAAGTCTCCTTGAATGCGATATCCTCTACATTCTCTTCCTTGATGTTGAGGCCGTTGGCCTTAAATTTATATTGTCCAAGCTTAATGGATGCTACGTCATTTTTAAACCCTTCAGGCTTACTTTTCTGATATCAGGCGTGAGTCATATGATGTGAGTGTCGAAGATTGCAACTTGGGCATTTTGCGATCCTCATGGGACGGCCTAGGAGATGAAAATATTATTTAACTTACCGGCAGTGTCCGATCGGGGCCGCGAAACTGTGAAGGATATAATAACTCACTTGCTACGTGACTACATACGGCGGCCGCCCCCAATGCACATCCCACAAAAACCCCTGTCACTGATTATCGAGAAATACCGCAAACGAACCAGGGCCCTCACCCAGCTTATGCTTTTCACTTGACGCGTCGCACTCTGGGACTAAAACAGAAAGTCCAAAGTGGCCGCTTTTCCGCTCCCCTAGCTTGAAAATGGACCTGGCTACACCGCATACAGTCCAAATCCCGGTCTGAGTCCCATTCGAAGACCGACACGTCGCACGACATTACAGTTGCCTGGTATCTGGGAGGGGTTGAAGAATGTCTGCGAGTGACTGGGTCTGGGGTGTAAATCGGCTATTAATATCGACAAGCTCCGCCAAGCCACGTGTGTGCAGCTCCCTCTCAGCAACATCGCATTTGTATGTACACAAACATGGCCGAATTCCTCATTGAAGACAAAGATTTGGTCGGGCTCAAGGGTAAGGTGGCCATCGTGACAGGTGGTTCATCAGGTATCGGCCTCGCTGCAGTCAACACGCTTCTCTCCCAGGGTGCGTCCGTCGTCAACGCAGATATCCAGCCGCCGGCGGAACAACCCGAAAGCTCTTACACGTTTGTGAAGACCGATGTCACAGTCTGGGCTCAACAGATTGCGCTCTTCAAGAGTGCGAAGGAGATCTACGGACGTATCGACCATGTCTTTGCCAACGCTGGCCTCGGCCCCCGCGCCAACTATCTGTCTACGGAAGTAGACGAGAACGGCGATCTGAAGGAGCCTACACATCAGCTTCTGGATGTCAGTCTCACAGGTGTAATGCACACGGCTACTATCGCAATATACTACATGCGGCAACAGGCTGAGGGTGGCAGCATTGTCATCAATGGTTCTACCACCGGTCTCCAACGGCTTCGTGCGGTGGACTACTGTGAGTTCAGATCACTTTCGTGGCCAGCCTTCCCAGCTAACAACATAACTCAGCCACGGCCAAGCATGCGGTTCTCGGATTCGGACGTGGTCTGATCCCGCTCATCGCATCTGCCAACTTGCCCATCAGGGTCAACACCTTGGCGCCGACATGGGCGGATAGCAGCGTGTTGCCGGACTTGAAGGGCCTCATGGCCAAAATTGGAGTCGAGATCCAGACCGCTGAAGCCGTTGCCCGCGGTGCAGCGTATTTGATGGCTGATACCTCCCGGAACGGCAATGTGATCCATGTGCAGCTTGGAAAGTACAAGGAGATTGACGAGGCTGTCCTACTCCCGGCTTTTGAGTCTATTAAGGGACCTGATTATCCTGGCGAAGACGAGGTTCTGCGCCGTCTGCAGGAACTCATGATGGCCGCTTAATTATTTTGTCGCATGTCTCGATAGGGCCTGAAATTTGAGCAGGGGATGGAGTCAAGTTTACGCACTTTTAATGAACACATCACGATGAGTTGAATTCAACGGCATAGCAGAATTATCAGACCAGTAACCTCGAGCCTCTCCGGTTTCTATGGAAACAATATAGTAGCAACAGACGTCTAGCTCGGAGGTCGTCTACAACATCGAGAAACCTCCAGAAGCAGAAATAGTCTGCCCAGTAACCCAATTCGCCTGCTCCTCAGCAAGCATAGCAACAACAGACGCCACATCCTCCGGCTTGCCCATACGATTTTCATAAGGCGTCATGGCCACAATCATCTTGACATGCTCCCCGTGAGCCTCCGACGCCCCTGAGTCGCGCGCCATGTCGGTCTCTGTGACACCGGGTTCAACCGCGTTGACGGTATGCCCCGCCGGGCCCAACTCCGCCGCCAGAGCACGCGTGAGGCCCTCCAGCCCGGCTTTGGAGGCCAGATAGAGACTCGCGGAGGCGTAGCCGCCCCGCGCTGCAACGGAAGTGATGTTGATGATACGGCCTGGACGGCGGAGATGAGGTATGACGGCTTGGGACATGAAGAAGGGCCCCTTGAGGTTGACGTCGATACTTTCCTGAAAGTTGGCTGGCGTAACCTCTGGAACAGGTAGTTTAGACGTTATACCGGCGTTGTTTACGAGAATGTCGATGTGTTCTCCAAACGCTTTGACAGTGGCCTCGATAATCCGCGCGGGAGAGTCGGGCGAGGACATGTCGGCTCGCACTGCGACGGCATCGGCCCCATTGCCCAAGGCTTTGACGCTGTTTACTACATTTTGTGCAACGCTCACGCTGTTCTCTGAAACATAGGTGATGACGATCTAGGGGTTTCTGTCAATGGTTGATGTTCATCAACGATGGGAAAATTGGACTATGGACTGACGTTTGCGCCTCTCTTGGCTAGTTCAACAGCAATAGCGGCACCAATACCTCTGGAGCCGCCAGTCACGATGGCGACTTTACCGTGCAGAGATCTAGCTTGCGTGGAGGCCATTTTTGCCGATCTTAACTGAAATGATGGAATATCAGAACACAAAGCTAGGGCTGCAACGGACGTGGAGAAAAACGGTCTGGTGAGAAAGCGGGGTCCCGCGAATCAAAGACTTTCTTCAAACTTTGAATTCTTTCCAATAGCAGTTAGCAAGATCCAGAGCGAAAGAACGGGTCTTGTGACACGGCTTTCGGGTGGGATGTCGAAAGTGAAGGTCCTTGATTTGCACGAGTTGGGCTTACCTGTCTGTTCACAAACATTAGTTCTCATTCCAGACTCTCAAGGTTCCAAAACAGGCGGAATGCGTGATCAGTCATAGGTGCGGCGAACCAATTTGATCACAAGAGGCATTGCATCTCATATAGTTACGATAACAAGTATATATGAGGAGAATGGTTTGTTTTTGAGCACATTGTCTTCTTGATAAGATGCGAAATCCAAGTCACCTTGGCCCTTCTTGCCTGATGTGCGATCTTGGTGCAGCAGTAGCCCCGATTGGCATCCTACACCTACACACATGCTTCTACTAAATAACAACGCTATCAACCATGCCGAAATATCATCTATCCCTCCCTCATCGCTTCGAAATAACCAAGCAATTGAATTCCATCTGAAGAATCTAGACGCAAGCGACTGTCTGGGTGCAGCTGTCACCACGCTTGCGATTCTTGCAGGCGTCTTCGTTGGCCTTGGTAGCCGTGGCGTCAAAGGTATCCGTCTTGCCCTTCTGGCAGACGTTGGTGTTGCCCGTGCAGAAGAGGTTGGTGCCCTGCTGGCAAACGGACAGGTAGTTTGCGGTCTCGTAGGTGGCCTGGGCGGAGGCGCCAGCGACCATGATGCTGGCGAGGACGGCGAAGGTAGGGAACTGCATTTTGGCTGTTGTTTGTGGTGGTGACTGTTTGAGATTGAAAGGTAGGCAAGTTGATTCTTGGTAGCGAAGTTGTAGCGAAAGAGACAGTTGTGTGAATGAGTGATGTTGAGATGGGAGACAAGTATTACGCCATTGAAGGGTTTACTCAATTACTTATATAGAAGTTCTGCTCGTCGATACACGGAGAGCAACTGCCGTCCAAGCCTTTGATAGATCATCACAATCTCGCTGACTCGAGCCGATGTCTCGAGGCCATACTAAGCGAAGCGACGCAACTCGAGAGCTCCGAGTGGGATGGGACGTCGGTGTCGCCGTGGAACCGTGGACTTGGGGCGTGGTGCCGCCGAACCGAGAACCTTAAAAAAGACCCGTGTGCTGAGACGAACACTTTAGGCCTTCTGTGGCGTGGCTTTGCTCTCATGCGTTCCATTTATATTAACAATGACGTTTCAACTTGAACGCGTGGTGTCTCGCAGCCCTGGTTAGTAGCTAAGTCTGTATTGCACCCCCCTAGGAGACAGTTGCCGGACTAAGCAGTCGGAAGGACAATGACAACTTAATTATATTACAGAGTGGAGTGTTGTTGGAAGTTGGCTCACTCTGCGCACTTTGCCTGGGTGGCTCGTTGGTGGAAAGTGAGAACAGCCAAGGCTTTCCCCAGATCCAATTGCGGATACAGGGCTCCGGGGATGGTATGCCGCTTCCAGTTGTTTGCGTCTATTTACCACGAGGCGCGCGCGTTGAGCAAGATTAACAAGTCTTGCTAAGTCTTTGGTAAGTCTCAAGGTTCGCGTATGACCTAGGTGATGTCTAGCGATCCTGAACAAGTGAGCTCAGAGTCAAGCCTCTAGGCCCTCTTCACGTTGGCCCACAGCAAGCCGAGTGAGTCGCGAATGCTCGGGAAATTACGTGTGCACATTCCGAGTCAACTGCTCGTAAGACTTTGTTGCCAGTTGATTTGCTGGAAGCGAGCGGTGACTGATGTGATGAAGCAGCTGGTGAAGTGTAGATACTATCGTAGCCAGTAATTTTGTTGACCCCATCGATGTTGCAAGGTGCATTGCTGCGTTCAGTGGAGGCCTTTGAAGCTGTTGAGTGCCATTTCAGTGCACTTCAATTCAGCCACATGAATCAATCTATTGCACGGACGGAGTACTGTCCAAAGCTGCACTCAATGGGCAAACTCTTCCAAGGGAGGACCAAACAGTGATAAGAGTTGGTGCAGAACCGAGTGCCTAACAAGGTTGTCTGCCCAAGAGTGCCAAGTTTCTTGAGTGATCGGCGTGTCTTTTGGCCTTCGACCCAGTCTCCCACGTTCTTCCGTCCGAACTGAAAGACACTTGCCACGCGGTCTCTTTAACTCAGCTCAAGCATTCTGCTCGTCACAAACGTAACCGCCAAGTTCCGGTTGACAGACGGTAGCGCACCCTGGCCCCGGCCTCGGAAGCCGGACACCGTGGTGCTCAGTCAACTTGTTGGAGGGGTCATGATCTACCCGACCCCCGGGGGAAACATCCGGGGACGAGTCGGGGCGCGTCTTCTGTAGGATCAATGGCGTAATTATATGTGTATATGGTCACCCTCAATTGAGCCTCACGACATGTAGACAAAATACCGAGCTCATAAAGCCGGTGTCACTCGAAAGGCGATAAACATCGGCCAGCGAAGCAGAGTCTTTGTCGGGGACGACCCGACGTTGGTTCCGCAGAAGGCGGATAGCGTCCGGTCGCACGCAATTATGCCGCCCGACACGCCCGACCGGCAGATACTTGTTTCTTTTGTGGCGTCCTTGGTGAAGGGCGGAATCGACGGACCCTTCCACCAGCCACGCACTCGGCATCAATTACCGCAAGAGAAACGGCAAGGCTAATGAGAATTCTCGTGAAATTCTCTTATATACACTGATTAGATCTACTCATATCCGCTCATAATCCACATTGTAGAAGGCCAGAAATGAGCAAAGTCTCATGGACTCAATCTCACCCTCACTGACGAGCACTCACTGAAAACGTCCAGTCTGAACCCCTGAGTCCCGACTCACGACCAAAACTCAACTGAGTATCAACATCACGAGGAACTACCAGTCTCAACCGAGCATCATGGCCGCCGACATCAGAGTCTCAATCGACCGCGGCGGCACATTCTGCGACGTCATTGCCGACATCGACGGTCGTGAACCTCTCATCTTCAAGCTCCTCTCCGAAGACCCAGCAAACTACCCTGACGCCCCAACCGAAGCCATCAGGCGCGTCCTCGAAATCGTAGAGGGGAAACCCATCCCCATCGGCGAGAAGCTCAATGGCTCGCGTATCGGTGAATTTCCATATCATCAATCCTCTTTGACCTTGTGTCTAACACTTTCTCAGCATCATGCCGCATCGGCACCACAGTCGCGACAAACGCCCTCTTAGAACACAAGGGCGAGCGCTTCGCTTTCCTCACAACCAAAGGCTTCAAAGATGTCTGCGTTATCGGCGACCAGTCCCGTCCAAAACTCTTTGATCTCAACATCCGCAAGCCCACGGCTTTACACTCTACCGTCGTTGAGATCGACGAGCGCATCGTCCCGGCAGACTACGACCTTAATCCAACGCCCCTGGACAGGGAGGCCGCTCTCAAGGCCGCCTCTGCATCATCATCAACCTCATCCTCTTCTACTCCCCAAAAAGGAGACCTCGTCAGCACACCAAACGGCGACCTGATCCGTATCCTCCGCCGCCCAAATCCAGACCTCATTCGCACCCAACTTCGCGCCCTCAGAGATACAGGCTATACCTCCCTCGCAATCTCCTTTATGCACGCCTACTTGTATCCCGCCCATGAAGACCTCGTCGCCTCCCTCGCCCGCTCTCCCGAGTTTGCCTTCTCTTACGTGACAACCTCATTCTCCACCTCCCCGGCCATCAAATACCTCAACCGCAGCACCTCGACATGCTCAGAAGCCTACCTCTACCCCGTCATCCAGCGCTACGTCGCCTCCTTCCACGCAGGCTTCCTACCCGATGCCCCACCGCGTCGCGTAGACTTCATGTGCTCCGACGGCGGCCTGAAAGCAGCTTCCCGCTTCCGCGGCAACGAGGCGCTCCTGAGCGGTCCCGCAGGCGGCGTAGTCGGCATCGCGAGGTCCTGCTATGACCCGCAGGACGGCACGCCCGTCATCGGCCTCGATATGGGCGGGACCAGCACCGACGTCTCGCGGTACGATGGGAAGTACGACTACCTCACCGAGACTTCCATCGCGGGCCGCACAATCACCACGCCTATGCTCAACATCGCGACCGTAGCAGCCGGCGGTGGATCAATCCTCTTTGCGCGCAACGGTCTCTTGGCTGTAGGACCCGAGAGCGCCGGCGCGCACCCAGGACCGGCATGTTACCGCAAGAACGGGCCCCTGACCGTCACGGACGCGAACCTTTTTCTGGGGCGCCTCGTCCCGTCTTCCTTCCCTTCCATCTTTGGACCGTCCGCCTCTGAACCGCTCGATGCCGCCGTCGTGGAAGAGAAGTTCAGACAAATTACGGAAGAATTCAACCGGCAGACGAACCAGACTCTCCAACCGCACGACGTGGCCCTAGGCTTCTTGGACGTTGCAAACGAAACAATGGCCCGTCCCATTCGCAACGCAACCGAAGCCCGCGGCTTCGCCCCCGAAAACCACAACCTCGTCTCCTTCGGCGGCGCAGGCGGCCAGCACGCCTGCGAGATTGCCGATAAACTCGGCATCCGACGCATTCTCATCCACAAGTTCTCCTCTCTGCTTTCAGCATATGGAATCGCGCAGGCGGAGCTGCAAAGCGAGACCCTGGAGCCGTACGGCGCGAAATTCAAGCACAGCGAGGATGCCGTGCAAGGGACAGTGGCATCCCACGTCGGGGATCGCCTCGCCGCGCTGAGGGGGAAAGTGAGCCGAGAGCTCGTCTCCCAAGGAGCGGATGAGGCTTCTCTGGTGTTTGATGAGAGTCTTGTGTTGCGGTACTTTGGCACCGATACCAATATCACCATCTCCCGCCCCGAGGATGGCGATTATGCCGCGAGCTTCAGGACCACGCACCTACGCGAGTTCGCCTTCTCGATGGATCGGGACATCGTCATTGAGTCGATCAAGGTCCGTGGGACAGGCGGCGCGGCGGGGAGCGCGTTCGGGACGCGGGAGATGTCGGCGGCCAAGGAGCTCGCAGACAGGATGAGCGGTGGTAGTGGTGGTGTAGCTGCCGCCCCGGAGCCGACCGCGAAGCAGAGGGTTTACATCGACGGCGGATGGCGTGAGACGAGCGTGTATCGTCTGGATGAAGTCCCCAAAGGCGTTGTGATTGAGGGACCGGCTCTGCTCATCGACCAGACGCAGACAATCTATGTATCACCGACGTTTAGCGCGTACATTCTCTCCTCCCACGTCGTCCTCGAGAAGCAAACTTCCACGACAGCTTCAACATCACCCCTCTCCACCTTGACAACGCCAACACAAACACTCCAAACAGAGGCACCAGAAACCACAGACCCAATCCTTCTCTCCGTCTTCGCCCACCGCTTCATGGCCATAGCAGAACAAATGGGCACCACCCTCCAACGCACCGCAATCTCCACCTCGATCAAAGAACGCCTCGACTTCTCCTGCGCAATCTTCTCCCCCGAAGGCAAATTGGTCGCCAACGCGCCCCATATCCCCATCCACCTCGGCTCCATGCAATTCGCCATACAAGAACAACACCGCCACTGGAAGGGCCGCCTCCAGCCCGGCGACGTGCTCCTGACGAATCACCCGCAATGGGGCGGCACGCATCTCCCGGATCTGACCGTCGTGACGCCCGTCTTTGTCGATACCGGGCCACCTTCCGCCGACAAGTCGGACAGCGACGAAACCACCACCCAAGAAATCGCCTTCTACGTCGCCTCCCGCGGCCACCACACAGACATAGGCGGCAAAGGCATCACCTCGATGATGCCCGAATCACGCCAACTCTGGGAAGAAGGCCTCAACGTACCCACCCTCAAAATCGTCTCCCGCGGTCACTTCCTCGAACTCGACGTCGTCGCCGCCTTTGAGAAAGCAGGCTCCCTCCCAGGCTGCTCCACCTCCCGCCGTCTCGCCGACAACATCTCGGACCTGAAAGCCCAGACGTCCGCAAACCAGCGCGGCATCCTCCTCCTCCGGAAACTCTGCGCCGAGCAGGGCGAGGGAAGGGAGGGCGTCGCCGTGGTGCACAAGTACATGTCCGCGATCCAAGCCAACGCAGAGAACGCCGTCAGAACCTACTTCAAATCCATAGCCGCCTCCCACCCGACCGGTCTCTCCGCGACAGACCACCTAGACGACGGCACACCCCTCCACGTGAATATCACCCTCTCCCCCGAAACGGGCACAGCAACCTACGACTTCTCCCTCTCGGGCCCCCAAATCTGGGGAAACTACAACTGCCCCGTCTCCATTACCCACTCAGCCATAATCTACACCATCCGCAGCCTAGTCGGCCTCGACATCCCCCTAAACCAAGGCTGCCTGAACCCAGTAGACATCATCCTCCCCCCGCAAGGTTCCGTCCTCAACCCCGGTCCCGGCGTCGCCATCTGCGGCAGCACACTCGCCTCTCAGCGCGTCATCGACGTCATCCTCCGCGCGTTCGGAACCCACGGCGCAAGCCAGGGGTGCGCGAACAGTTTCGGCTGGGGCATGGGCGGACGAGACCCGGAGACCGGAGTAGTCGTCAAGGGGTGGAATTACGGGGAGAGTATCGGTGGCGGCGTTGGTGCGGGAGCCGGGTACGACGGGGAGCATTCGACGCACGTGCACTCTACGAATACGCGACAGACGGACGCGGAGGTCATCGAGAAGCGGACAGCTGTGCTTGTCAAGTCCTACAGTATCCGTGAAGGCAGCGGTGGTGTTGGGAAGTCTCGTGGAGGCGACGGAATCACCCGTGAGATCCAGGCGCGTATTCCGCTCAAGTTTAGTATCCTTTCGGATCGGAGGGTGTATCGGCCCTGGGGTATGGCTGGCGGAGGGCCGGGGCAAAAGGGGGAGAATTATGCGTTCTTGTTCAATGAGGAGGGAGGGATGGAGAAGATTAATCTTGGCGGCAAGGCCATCATCAACCTGAAGGAAGGCGAGTATATCCAGGTTAACACCCCGGGTGGTGGGGCGTATGGTGGCGAGGAGGTGGAGGATAGACATCGGGGGTATGTATGAGATGAAAGGTGCATCATGATAGATCAAAGACAAAGACAAGAAAGGCTTCCAGTAGAATGTCACCAACTTGTACTTGACACTTGCTGCGACTTAATAAAGCCTTGTCATTACATATAAACGGACCTAATCCAACATTACAACATCCAATGCGCATGGCACATCATGGTATCGTCATCCTTTGTCAACGTAAAATCCCCAACAACTCCTATGGATATCATGCAGGCATCGCCCTCAGTTTCACTTCAGCACAATTGCTTACGCGACCTCCTTCTCCAGCTTGGTGTCGACCGTTCCCGGTGCGGCAACGTCCGCAATAGTCTCGTCAGAGAACTTGAGATCCTCCTCGACAGTGACGGTGTCCTTGATCTTCAAGAAGATGATGGGCGCACCAATAACGAGAGCACCAGCAAGGCAACCCCAAGTGGCGCCGAAGATGGTGTTGTACTCGGTCTGGACACCATCGAGACGCCAGAAGACGGCAGCGCCGGCGGATTGGATACCTGTACCATGTCAGTATGGATGCGCCAAAAAAAACCCGAGGAACAACTTACCCTTGTAGAAACCAGCCAGGTTGGCAGCCTTGCGGGAAGAGTTGGAGAGGGCGCCCATGTACCAGTAGATGCTCGTCTGCCAACAGGCATCGAAGAAACCGTAAAACATGTACAGGAACATGGGGCCAATGTAAGCCTCGCCGCCGTCGGTCCAGTCAATGGTGGGGTAGTCCAAGTTGCCCTCAATCTCGCCGCGAGGAGCCTGCTTCTTCTGCCATGCGTACCCTCCGCCCCAGATGGCCATGGTCAAGACGAAAAGCGTGATGTAGGAGGCCTTTGCGCGTACGCTACGGCGGACCTTGGGGAAGTCAAGGGCATAGCCAAAGATGAGAGCGCCGATAATCTGGGAGGACCAGTACAACAGGTTGTTGAGCGAGCGAGTGCGGGTGTTGAAGTGAGGCGCGTTCATGTCGTTGGTCTGGTAGGTGTAGAAGACGTTGGAGGTGAAGAACATGGGGAAAAGAAGGATGATCCACGGGTCTTGGGCCAGGGTCTCCCACAAGCCCTTGAACTCGGATTGCCAAGAAGGGTTCTTCATGACGATAACCTTGGAGCCATCCTCGCGAATGATCTTAGGGACATCGCACATGAAGAGAGCAAGAATGGCACCAAGCAGCATGAGAACAATGAAGGCAGCGTAGGTGCCGTCAGTAACAGTGCTTCGCGATGTGGTGTTGATGTTCTGGCCAAGGGGGATGAGAGCGCCAATGACGGCGCCGAGGTTGAAGATCATCCAGAACCAGGAGATGTAGCGTCCCTTCTCCTTCTCAGAGGGGTAGGACATCATAATGGCACCCTGACCAGTCCACAAGAGACCAGCGCACACGCCGAGGAAGGCACCGGCGAAAATGACAAAACCTTCGTTCTGGTTGTGGGAGTAGGACAGGAACGAGGCAGCGTAGATGCAGTAACCCAGGCCACCCAAGCTGAGAGTCAGACGGAGACCGAGACGATTGGCAAAGGTACCGGCGAAGAAGGCGGCGACGGCAAAAGTGGAGTACAAGGCCGTGTTGGCATCGTTGGATGCCTTTGTGGAAACCTGACCACCGCCACCGAGACCACCGAGGGCATTAAACATTCCGGGGCAGAGGAAGCAGACGAAGGAGACCATGAAGAGCTGAATACGGGGCGAAGCGTACCAGAGCTCCTTGCCACCAATGCGGAAGCCACGATACATGAAGCCGGCAGGGCGGGGAACGGGGCCATCAACAGCGGTTGTTGTCGGGGCGGTGGTGGTGGGCTCAACATCGGCCGCAGCCGCGGGCTCGGGAGCGTGTTTCTCGTCGACGGAAGACATCTTGGCGGTGATGTGGAGTTGGCGAGGTGGAGAGGCTCAGAGGATAGACGTTGAGGTTGACGGAGCGGCGTTGCGCCTTGGCGGGACGGGAGGAATTGGGGCCGGCGGTAGATGGCTGCCGCTTGGTGCTTTTCTCTCTCTCGAAGTGTCGCAGACTGGAAACTCAATCGTGCCAGACGATGGGTGCGGGTGGCCCAAAGTAGCGCAGGCGCAAGGCTCAGTTCGATGAGTTTGGTCTGGAAAGACTGGACTGAAAGAATGAGACGGGCGAGCAAAGGCTAGAAGAAGAGTCCCGGGGGAGGTGTGCAGCTTCTTTATGGGACGGTTTATCGGGCTGCAGGTTGCAGTTGCACTGGGCGATGATCGTGGGTGGAGCTTTGGTCAAGGTCGCGGTCCCGACGTGCCAGGGTGAGGCGTGGCGGGTGCGAGAAAGATGACAAGGGGGGGCGGAGACTGGGAGGAAGTCGGGTGGAGGGTGTGAGGATGATGGAGGTGGTATCCGTAGCTAGGGTAGCCGGGGTTGCTTTGTTGACTTGGAGAGGTTGAAAATGGGAGAGAGGTGTTGATGGAGGAGAAGGAGAAGAAAGATTGGTAACCAAGTACCGGATACGCCAACTTGTTTATCGCGGCTAATAGAACCGTGATACGGAGAGACGGGATGAGATTGGAAGATGGTAAGAGCAAACAACAAAGGGTACTTTTGCATATAAAAATACCTTAATAATCGAGAAGCTTTGGGGGTTCGATGCTCAGACGCAGGGCAGGTGCAGATGGACGGATACCTCAGGTGCAAAGGAAAGAGGCCGGCAGCCAGGGGCGTAGATGGCAAACGGGAAAGCGCGTCCACAGGTGACGGGTGTGTGAGGTGTGAGACGATGGAAGGAAGGACTCAGGGAGAAGATGTGCAGAGCTAAGGAAGGTGGCGCCAACGCCCGAATGGGACGGGACGGGTACGGAGTACACAGCAGGCGAGACTTTGGGGGAAGGCACCTCACAGGCTCACACGCACCAAGGCACCTTTGATGGCAGGAGGCAGGAGCTACTGGCAAGAAGGCACTGGCAGGAAGGAGCTACCCCAATCGACCAGTCTCCAGTCTAGCAATGGAAAGCACGGTCAGCTCAGGTAAGGTAGCAATGGGAACTCAGGAAGGAGTCGCCTTTCTCGTGTGCGTTCCATCTGACGTGTGGCCGAGGTGCCTATCAGCGCCATGAACGAGAGACTTTTGAATCAGGTTTGATAGATGGGCTGAAAGGAAGGCGTCTACCATGTGTCAGTGTGGTGGTGTCAAAGAAGGTGGTAGGATGGAGTGGCAAGCTACGTGACAGTCAGAGGCAGCGGCCTACCTTGGAGGCATGCCTTAGATACGGCCCTTCAATCAGCAACACTTGAGACGATGAGGGACAGCCACCTGGTACTGGTAGAAGTGCGCCAAAGTTTGCTTGTCAGAGGTGATAATGCCAATTCAAAGGTGACAGCAGAATTGACTGATGGTGTGGAGCATGGGGAAACCAAACCAGGATCTGGCGGCGCCGCTGGGCAACGGGGGAAACAGCCGATGGGTTGAGAGGAGCCACTACGCAGGGATGCGATTGACTGACCCAGGTTATCCACAGATACGGATGGGGAGATTTTGGTTCGGAGACCTGGCCGTGGACCTGGAAGCTTGAAGCCTAAAGGCACAGTCTTGATAAGAGAGATTCCGGCCCGGTCAGTGCCGAATGACGGATGGGTGAGCAATCAGTCGGTCAGACTTGATAACGTCTTGTTGATGATAGTTGCGGGTAGTTGGGTTTGGTCTGAGAGACAAGACTCCCGTATGGCATTGTCGAATGATGACAATCAAAGAAAGATGCAGTCCAAATTTAGACAAACTTCAACGGCGCCAGACGGCACGCGGTGGCGGCCTAAGCCAGGGCGGAGAGCGGCTGTTCGCGGCAACGCGCGAGGTATCACGAGGTGTAGGTTCCAGCTACGGTACCCTTTCCAACTTGCGAATTGTCAAAGTCCCATTGTTGCTGACTGGTCTGGGCCAACCTCCCTCTCACATCACATCACGTCTGCAGAGGCCCCTAGCTGGTATATTCGAGGCCGGGTTACACCACATTCTTTCTTTGTTTGAATGGGCATTCTCGGGTCTGTGGTGCTAGTGATGAGTATCAGACTTCTGTTAACCCCAATTCTCGTCAGGTTTCAATCCAAGTCGCCTACCATCACTTGCAGGAAGTAATCTGACTTATTTGTTTTGGCATGTGTGCCGCGCCGGGAGAAAGAAGCGAAATTCATCACCGAAATTCATGGTTCGTTGCGTCTCCACTCTACCCCAATCGATAAGCCCCACGACAAAGGGCCGATGCCTTGCGGTATCTGATTGGTCAACAATATGGAAGGTCACGAGGTGGCGCTTCCTTCCATCTCGCAGGCTTTGATCGTAATTGGCTTACGGGTTCCTGTGCCTCGGCCGTTTGGGGAAGGAGAAGGAGAGATGACATGCATCCATCGCCTGCCGGCCACCCGCACTGTGCCTTTTCAGTGCCGAAGACACTTCAAGTGCTGACAGCAGCCTACATTGCAGCGAGTGCAGATGGATTCATCCTGCAGTCCACGGTATGCGGCTGATGCCGATTCTTCTCACGTTAGTGATAAGGCAGAATACGGAATTCGTATTCCACATGCCCTACTTCCTCGTGTCTGCTATAGGTATCTTCATAACATTGAGTACCAGTATCTAAACGGTACAAGTTTTGATCTCGTGCCTTTCCTCCATATAACAAACACAGTGGTAAAACAGAAGCAACGGCCACCACACCACCACACCTTCCCCCCCGTGCGGAGAGATTTCTAAAGTGGCGCACAGAGCCAAGATAGACAAGCGTCAACCAACCAGCGCGCTAGTCCTCGTCCCCGCCCCCTGCCATCTGAGGTCCGTGCGGAATGGAGAGGTGCATGTAACGTTTCCATGAGATTGAAACTCAAAAAAAGAAAAAAAAAAAAAAAAAAAAGAATGGAAAGAAGTGAGAAAAAAGAGGGGACCACACAGCATGCAGCTGCCAGACGAGAAGAAGCTGGTGGCTTCGTCAATAATGGTCCTGTCGTCGCAGGTTCGATACCTACAGATATCTAATCTGCAGCTACGGATACCTTATTCAACGCTATTCCCCAGACTCCCGTCCCCCAAAGCTGTCGGGGATAACCCGTGCTCCCCCGTCCACGACGTGTTACGGAACAGGAGCTGACCTGACCGTGCCCACGGCCTGGGAACCGGCCAGTTGCATTGGCGACACGACGGGACAGATAGACTCTTGCTCAAGTCTCCTGCTCCAGTCTCCCTTCTCGTGGGTTCGTTACACAGATAAGGATGCATCGCACACGTTTCCCGCCCTACCTTACTTGCAACCTTGATTCTACTTCAGACGGCTCCCGGGGTTGCACAGCAGTATTCGGGCAGAGTGTCAGCTTTTCAGTCTTCCGTACGTTAGAAAAGCAATCAAGGCTCAGCTCTATGTAGACGTCTGGGTCGTAAGGCATGTCAGCAATCTAGTCGATTTGAATTCCCCGAGCCAGATCCTCTCACTGTGGCCATTCTCGACCAAGTCGTTCAGCTGCTGCTCCATTGCAGGATCCTCAGCTGCAATTTGGTCCACGCATGGAAACCCAACCTAACCGGTATTCTATCCCACGAGACCTGCATCTGATATCTGGACGTAACCACGGATATCTTCAGTACCCATATCCATATCTCCCCAAAGCAATCTGACCGTTACTTCCCTTTACCCCACACAAACCAAAGGTTACATCCCCACCCATCCCATCGTCTAGTGGATGACTCCACGGTCCATTCCATCCCCGAGCCAATGCTGATGGAAACCACGGGACAAGTCACAACGGTCACCGGCGATGTTTTACCCAGCAATGTGGCATTTACAGTAGACTTCTCCAGGGTCCATCCGGTATCCGAACCCGCCGTATTAAACCCGTTGAAGAGAGCCAGCTGCCCAAACCCACACAGGCGTCGATAACCCTTCAAGTTCCTGGCGCAGATGGTTCCTGCTCCATGGAGCTGGGTATTGCGTGACAGGCGTCGACATGTTGGCCCAACTTTATCAAGCTACCCCATGTTACTTCAAACCCGTCGACGATTCGTCAACGACGCATCATAGCATCGGTGATATGGAGTCTCATCCGGTCCTCCGGCCCCCGGGACTAGATCCCTTCCCCGACCTAGACGTCCTTGGACTTTCCAGCCGGTTCTTCAGCCGCAACAGTAGACATCAACCACTAGACTCCCGACGGGCATGTTACCGACGAAGTCATTGACTGACGCCGCATCCCTCCGGCATTGATTGATATTCTTTCCGCAAGACTAGCAATCCTCTCGTTGGAGCCCGGCTTTTGTGTCCATCGAAATATGCCGTAAGTTGGTGCTTCATAGTTGTCCACCCATACTTGCCGAGCCCCGCGCCCCCAAGAGATCATGATCGATATCAACTGACGTCGGTTCCAGTACAATGCCTTTCTTAATGTTGCCTTTGATGCCCCGTCCCTTTTGAGGGGGGGGGGGGGGGTAAATTCCAGGCCCCAAAAAGCAGCAAAATTCTAGTAGTATGAAGCCTTTTCCCAACGACGCCGAGCAAGTGCATCACGTTCATATAGGTACTTTATTCTGGAGCAGGAAATCTGCCAAGTCTAGACTTGCTGCGATTCACCTGGCCTCCAGTCCCTCTCTAGGCACCGCTCTTAGCTGCCGGCCGTATGTGTCAGCGCGGTGAACTTCCCGGGATCGGAGGACCGGAGCCTAAATGAATATTCGGGTCCCGAAACCTCCGTCCGGGGCTATGCCTCTCCACTATCTTACTTCCAACTGGCGACACAGTCTTGCAAAGCCGTCAGTATGTAGGCAATCCACTTGCCTCACTTCCGCCTTACCCTGCTGTCTGTATGAACTCTGGGACAGGATGATCGGGAATGGAATTTCGCTTCAGTCTTTTTATCCTCCAGCTTTCTCATAGAATAGTGAATACGTTGTGTGATATCCACACGTCTCATGTGCCGGAGACTTCAAACCGTCAACAGGAATTGCAAGTTGAAGAGGGATTAACGAGATTAAGGACTATGTCACCGACCGATCTGCAGTGCCATTTATCCAAATTGGCCCAACCAGGTGAAGAATTCCGTCGGCCTCCCACACAAACACTTTTCCTTCACCGTCGATTTTTAGTCTCAGAAACCTTAAAAATGGCCGCCGGGTGTGTACAGACATCCCGTGCACCAAATTACAGACGCACAACGGCATAAACAGCAGGGGTATACCTTCTCTCCCCAGGGCGAGTCAAGACCAAGTTTCTACAGATAGAGTAGTTCTGAGGCTGAGTTCTCTCCAGCATATGACTGCCAAGCCTACGGACGAACCACATTAATTGTATCCATCAAACGAACACTGTATTTAAGCAATTAGACTTACTCGTAAGAGGCTAATTTCTGCCCGAGTAGGATGTGCATAGTCCGCGATGAATACGAAAAAGCGGCGCGTATAGCCGCGTGTACAAATCCATACGAATCTGTAAAGAAGATATAAAAGAGCAAGCATACCTCTCCGGCCTAAGTCTCTGTCAGGCTATCAACTCAAGCTCTACACTCACTCCGTCCACTTAAAACCACCCTTGAACGCCTTTCGCTTCTCTTCTACTCAACTCACATTCACACTCACCTCCCGTACGCGAAAATGCAGTTCTCCATCATCGCCCTCATCTCCTTCCCCGCCCTCGCTCTCGCGGCGCCTCAGGCCAACGTCGCGCCTACGTGCGGCAGAGACAGCGACTGCACAAGCTTCTGCAGCAGAGGACCATGCACGAAGCCGTTCTGCGGACTGTCTGCTTTTGGGTACGTCAAGAAGAAAGAGAGAATAAATAAATATTCTCTTGGAATTCCGTTTTGGAGATGAGAGGACAGAAGATGCTGATATTGGGTAATTTAGTGACGAGCGCTGCTTCTGCGGAGGATGCTAGATGGAATATGCGACATGAGACAAAGCCGTTGCTTCGGCGGCTTGTGATAGCTTCTACAACCAGGAATCGCGATAATTGTACTTATGGACTACCAAGTTTGAGACGGCGCAAGGGATTGGGTGAGGTGAAGCGATCGATACCTTGGAGAGCGCGCAGTGGGGCGCCATGATATGTTCCATGCTTGGGAGCATCGAAACAAGCACGCGTTCATGGCTGACGTTTGCCTTGAATCTGAATGCGACCCCACTTTTATTCCAACAGGTACTGTCAATTTTTCCTATCGAATGACATACACATGTCTTTGAAAACAGAGAAAGAACGAGAGAGGCGTAAGCTGAAAATAGAATAAAATAAAATAAATGCACAAACATATAACGCCAGGTATTCGTTAATGGTCAACCAACTACCTAGTGGCGTATCTAGGAGAGAGTGGACGAAGTCCTAAGTCCTCCGCTGGATACGGCCGTGTGTGTGAACGCGAAGCTTTCGAGGATTATCAATTGTATATTGAGAAAATGCATTGCAAGCTTGATCGTCTGCCTAAGCCATGGCATGATTCATACTAACGTCAACCTTGTATCCGGCAAATCCATCTCAAACAACTCGCCCTCCATGATGCCGTGGACGTAAGAGTCTCCCACAAAGGTGAAGTCTCTCTCATGTGTGGCTCTGCACGGTCCTGGGAGAGGTCGCAATATCAATGGCACTCGTCCACCTTTGACGACCCATATCTGATCTCCTACTTGCGCGTCTCTACTAGCGAGCCCGAACAGACCAGTGTCTGATATGAAGAATCTTCTACCTCCTGTGATTGATACATTATGACTTCCAAAGCGGTCGAGCTGCCCCATTATATCCGCAGGAATGTGGACATCGGGTATAGGTACATCTGCGTATTTAGTACCCTGAAGTATATTCCACCACCATAGATCATGAAGAGACCGCGTCCTCTTGTCCGCCTGGTGGACATAGATCCTTTTGGGCAAAGTGACATCGAGATTCGCGCAGATTGTTCTCCAAAACGCATCCAGTATGTCTGTTCGAGTCTTGCAGGAGCCGAGCAACGCACAATAGGGATCTTGAGGCTTTCTATCCACGTTGGCCATTTCCCGCCACTGTCGAAGGGTATCTGCGTGGTAGCTCCCGCTGTCGCTGGGAGGATGAGGCTCGTTAGGCTCTCCAATCTTGGAGATGGAACCACCGAGACGGCCATTCAGGATCAACCTTTTGAGGTCGTTGGCACAGATCTGCGTGGATGCCGTTAAGCCTTGCCCGCAGGCTTCGAAGCAAGGTGCATAATTTTGCCTTTCATGCAGCAATCGCAGTCGCCAGTACTCCCCGGGCCTTTTGTCGCTCCAATCAGGGACCCAGGAAGGAAGTCCAGGCGGTGGACGATGAATGTAGCCATGCTCAAGGTACTCTTGCGACATGGAGGGAAGCACGTGTGATAGTACGTCTAAATTTCCGTCCCTTTCGATAAGGCTGATAGCGGCTCTTGCGTAAGCATCGGCAACTGTTGCCTCGTAGTCAATGATGTCTTTGTCGAGGCTATTCGTAAGCCCGAGCACGCCGTAAATCTTGTCTTTAGGATTGGTGGCGTCTCGATATCGGAATGTAGATGCCAGCTCCAAGAAGTGAGATTGGCCAGGGGAGGCGCGCTGATCTTTGGCGGTTCTGAGAATGAGGCCAATTTGCCTCAGGTAGGGAGACATCTCTTGCGAGAGGGATCGTCCGCTGACGGCCAGGCCTGCCGGCATCAAACCATCGATGTCGCAGCATTTCTCAGATGAGAAATGCTTGTTGAAGCTTTGAGCCATGTTGTCGATCTCTCCATTGGCAAACACGTGCTTGCCACACACATGCGTCACCGACTTTGCGAGGAGAATCTCCTGGACGGTCCAGATCCGCTTGTACCAGTCCGTCGACTTCAAAAACATGAACAGCCTGAAAAGCGTTGCCTCTGTGAGGAATGCGATCGACTTGTCATCTTGAACCTCTGGGACTCGCCAATGACGATCAGGAGATGATCCAAAATATTGTATGAGTTTGGGGATGCTCTCATGGTATCCGTCCGCGCCACTACCTAGCCATACGACAACCCTTTCAGCACCGCGGTAAATGAGGTCCATCATTCCGACTTGGTGCTTGCGTTCAGCGTTGTCGGTTTGATTGATGCAAACAGCATCGACCCACAGTTCTAGAGCTTCCCTCACTCTTCGGAGATGCCGCAAAGCGCTCTCGAGATTCGCTGTAACGTTCATGGTTTCGCCCTGCACCTTGATAGTTCTTGTGTCTTGGGGATCTCCCCAGACATACGACAATGCCTCATATGATGCGCTTGGGGTGATCGTCTTGAGTCTACACTCTATTTCATCGTCGAAAGACCCTGGTAGCAGCTCAAGGATCCGAATTTGCTGCGAGCAGTGGTCCAAAGGGGCGTAGATGTTGGTAGAGTACAGATTCGATTGATTGGTGGTCATGTTGTCCAAAGACTGCTTTGAGTAAGGATATAAATTAGCAAATGACTCGAGGCACCAGCATCGAGACGAGGGGCTTTGTGATATTATTAGTTCGCGGTGATATTATGGTATGGCATCTCTACTCAAACCGGCATTTCAACTGCTTCATAACTACATGCTGGCTGCTCTTCGTAAATCATGGCTGATCTCCCCATCACATGTATACAAGTAACTCCAGGCAGAAGCAGTTCACAATGCCGAAATGGGAGGATTCTGTCAGTAATCACTCAGATAGAAAGGTTCACAACTGTGCTCTAGAGTCTATGCAACCAAGTGGACCACAAATGCGGGCTCTCAATGACGGTCAAATAGGCCGCCGAAATTTCGGCCATGCTTACGTTGCCATGTTTCAAGCTGAAAAACTTCTCGAAGCTCAATTGGCGAGTGTTGCCTTGAGATGATGTGTCACTGCCAGCACTCAACCCTATTGGGGAAGGTAGTTCTGCAGGCTGTGCGGCCCGGGACGGTTTTGCACGCTGCAAACCTGCCACGCTTTTCTGAGCCTACAAACGTAGCAGTCCAATATTGATCACGTTAGTCCTCTTTGTCGCCTTGCTACGATGATTCGCAACTACTCAAGGCTTGGCACTGAGGCGAAGCTAGGCACCGCCGAGTGGCAAGGAGAGGCTTAGAGGGGAGGGAACCAGTCTGCCCGGTGCCATCTTGATGATTATGACATCACAAGCCGTATTCTTTGTTCTGCCTCTCCGGGTGATACTTAATTTGCATTGAAGCGAGAATTGATGAAGAAGGCTTTATCTCTACTCAGGGACCCGAAGGGATCAGACGTGTTAGGAGACGGCATCTTCGCCCTTGAACGTCCCGGATACCTTCTTCCGCCAGATACATCAAGATACAAGTATCCATTGTAATTATGGCTTGCCTGTTTACTATGTCTTCGTTCCATTTTTCTTTTTCCACACAGTTTATCCAAGGTGTCACTACTAATCCAGACTGGTAGATGACTGAACTTCACCTCGCTGCAACTTTTGGCACCCCTGATATTTGTAGTCGCATTCTCGACGAAGGTATACCGGTTGATATTTCCGAGAACAGCTTAGGCACACCGCTATGCACTGCAAGCACGCACAGGAAGATTGATAATGTCAAGCTGTTGCTTCAGCGTGGCGCGGACATCAATTTGCAGAATGCAAGAGGCTCAACACCGCTGTTATGTGCTGCATATAGCGGTTCGATTGAGGTGATGGAACTCCTACTCGATAAAGGCGCTCTCGTGGAAGTGAAGGCAAACACGACGACGGTACTTCACGTTGCTGCGCAAGATCACGGGCCTTCAATGGTGCAATTGATCTTGAAGTACATCAAGCAACACCATCCTGAAGACATGGTCAGTCTCCTAAACCAGCACGACAAGCAAGATAGAAGCCCTCTGCATATATCTGCGCAGAAAGGAGACCTGGAAACTGTACGAGCATTGGTCGACGCAGGTGCGGATATCGACATTGAAGATGTGTTGGCGAGAACGCCAGTGTATTTTGCTGAGCAACACGGTGAAATTGAAGTCAAAGATTTCTTGATCAGCAGGGGAGCCAGGATCGGAGTTCCGCGGGTTGAGACGGTCGAAGTCGAGCTCGAGGATGGAAGGACTGTCACCGTGGAAGTGAGTGATGAGAACCGCAAGCCCGGTGAGCAGCCTTCTAAGCTGTGTCCTGAAGAGGCAGCAAAGATGATCTATGATGTGGCAGAGACAATATTCACTTCTCCGATCAAAAGGATTCGCTGCAAGGATTAGCTATGGCGTTATGATGTGTGCCTCAACGGTGGTAGAGACCTGGAGTAGCTACCCAGCACGTAGCTTTCAGGGAGCTACCTATGTGGCGGTACGTGGAGTCACGCGATGAGCAGAGCTTGTCTCTGATGACCCCTCGCCCGGGTTCCTTTGTAATTCACAGTAATTACTACCATTTTGGACCATTTTGGGATGAAACGGAATTGTGCAAGCCGGGTCAAATCTTTTGTGTATACATTGTGCATTTGAGTGGCAACCACAATATCTAGTGTGAGGACTTTTCCCCTCTACACGCATGAAAGGCCAGATCAGTATACTGAGCAATAGGGGAAAAATCGATGTTCGTCACATCATCCCATACTGTTCATACATCCCACAATTAGTTCCGATGTGATCACGCCTGTCATGGCGCGAGAAGGGGACAAACAGGAAGAAATGTTTATAGGAGGAGAAGTAGAAGAAGAAGAAGAAATATCAGATGCTGAGAGACTTAGTAGGGTAGATAGTTTTATTCGTCGCGCAGACGGTCACGGTGCTGGCCTGGCACTGTCCGCCAGAGCTATAGGTTGCCGAGACCTCGCCGTCAACAGTGGAGGCGGTAGTGATGGTGGTATGGGTAGAAGAACCGCCGGAGAAGGATCCACCAGAAGAAGAGTCGCTCTAGTATGAGTAACCAAATGAGCCGCTGGACTCGGTGCCGGTGGGAGCAGGGAGGCAGACCAAGGGCTGTTGACTTTGGAAGTGTTTGTTAGCAGTGACGGGGCAGACGGCGGTGTACTCGGTAACCCTCTCAGTGGTAACGACGGGTTGTGGCCTATTGCCTAAAGTTGGTACTCAGCAGTCTACAAGGGATCTTAGCAAGATAGGTAAGAAGTATGTAGTTGAGCATCTTCTGTTCTAAGGTAAGGTACTTGGCAGCTTGGGTCATGCCTGGCACTGGCGTTGGGCGCCACCCATACCTACCTTAAGCACGTGCGAAGGTACGCAGTACCTTACCCATGCATGGGTCGCTGCTGACAAAGCTCCGCCGGATAAAGCCCGTTTGACTTCCGCAGCTCAAGGTCGAATCAATTGAGCTTTCTCCATGCGCTCTCCAACATTCGATATCCGCGCGAAAGTCCACGCAACGGTTGCTCTCATCACAAAGGCTCATTGTATTGAGCGACAAGATGGACACTCTCTCATGGATGTTCCTGGCCTTTGCCATTTACATGCTCGCGAAAGTACGTATCCCATGTTCGATCTCACGACGTCGCCGCTGCCCCACCTCTCTTCATGAGATGTCCATGGCTGTCCTCCCTAAACGATACCTCAAATGTGAGTCCCACGCTACTAACTAACCACCTCTACAAAGACACTCTTCGCAGACCGCTCGCCCATCCCTGAGACATCAGGCAAAGTCTACAAAGTCGCCAGCGCCGGAGAGCTAGACGCCCTCCTCGCCTCCACTACCAATGTCGTCGTCGACTTCTACGCCGACTGGTGCCCGCCGTGCCGTGTCATCGCGCCCATCTTCTCCGGTCTGGCCGACAAGCACGCCGCGGAGGGGAAGCTTGCTTTCGCCAAGGTAAACGTCGACCACGTCAACAACGTCGCTGGCCGCTACGGTGTCACTGCCATGCCGACGTTCATGTTCTTCCAGAAGGGGAAGCCTACGGGTGTGGCTGCCAAGGGGGTGACGCCTCGCCAGTCGGTTGTTTTCACTGAGGATGGTCGGGTCGATAAGATCCGGGGTGCGGATCGGGCTGCGTTGCAGGCTGTTGTGCAGGCGCTGGCTGGTGATGGAGAGGACGCGAAGAAGGAGTGATGGGATGCTAGGATTGGCGTGTACATCACTGAGAGGGATACCTCCGTCGAGAATTCGAACAGCTAAATAGTGGATCTGAGTGTCAACTCGCTGTTTTGGACCGAAAATACTGGAAGACACTTGCTGCTGCAAATGCCAGTGTCTTGAGTTTCGGGAATCATTACCCAGCTTTTGGTAATCACATCCTCATCCTCGAGGTCGATTTATCGACTCAAAGATGACAGCGCTCCAGGTACCCTAGAATGGATGCCTATCGGGCTCTCCGTGTCCCGGTCAGGGATGTAGACGGCAGAATCGGCTAATTGAGCTAGCGGGGGGGCACCGAGTCATCTAATTCGCGAAGCAGTTAGATCAACAAGGGTGAAGATGTGGGCTAGGCAACTTTCAGATATCGCTCGTGCTGACATGTTTATTTGGTCGAACTTCACTCAGATAGATAATCGACTAACGTCCCAGTGCCCCTAATGTTTGCTAGAACTAGCACACTTCTATGTGAGAAGAGACCGGTACTGTGTGTAGATCGATTGTGAACCAGCTTCGCGGCATCGACAACTGATCATCTCATCACGATGGCTACCTCTCGCCCCACCAAAGTTCTTAGCGTCGGCCTCCCTCGCACGGGGTCCTACTCCATGATGCTTGCCCTGACCGAGCTGGGTTACAAGGACGTCTACCACGGCCTCAACGCCATCGACAGCCCCGATGACTGGCGCTTCTTCGGCCGTGCCTCCGACGCTCTGTTCCCGACGTTGCCTTCATACACCGGCAAGGGCATGACCGCCGCCGACTGGGACCACGTCTTTGGACCCTGTGAGGGTATCACCGATATCGCCGCCCCCTTCACGCCATCGCTCATCGATGCCTACCCTGAAGCCAAAGTCGTCCTCGTTATCAGAGATTATGAGAAGTGGAGGGTATCGATGAAGGAGGTCATCTCTGGCATCTTTGGCCCCCTGACGTGTTTCATCCGGGACTACGTCGAGCCCATGATGGGCGCTGACAGCGCAGGGAATATCCAAAAGATGATGCTGGGCTGGGTGGGAGCCAGCGACGTTCCCGACTTGGAGTCGAAGCTCGGCGAGGTCTATGAACGCCACCACAAGTACATCATGTCGACAGTCCCTAAGGAGAGGTTGCTTGTGTATAAGCTCGGCGAGGGTTGGGGTCCCTTGTGCGAGTTCCTCGAGATGCCTGTGCCGGATATGCCATTCCCACACGGGAACGAAGCTGCGGCACTCAGAAGCAAGATCTTTGACAAGCAGAAACGAGTGATTCTGGAAGCCGGTATTCGCTTTGCGCCGTGGCTTGTTGGCGCTGGTGCTGTTGCGGGAGGACTTTGGTATACCCTGTCAATGTAACTGGGCCGAGTAAGGCGGTGTGTTTGGTTGCCAAGAGCTGGTTTGCTTTACACACCGACGGTGACATCGCGTCCTCTCATGAGCCTCCTGACAGAGAAGTGGTTGGCTATATCTTGTAGGAATCCAATAGGAGGATCAACTTCGCTCAGCAGCTCCTCGTACGCGGTTATCCGAGGGGCATCCCACACAAGGTCGACTTCGTTCGGCCGCAGAGTTTTTGTATGCTTGTAGTACTTCCAGGAACAGAACAAAAGAGGCGCCAGAAGAACCATGGTGTAGTGTACGAAGAACGAAGCTGGGTCAAACGGGCTAAGCGACCGGTAGCCGTAGCAAGTGACGACACATGTCATCCAGGCCAAGCCGATGTACGCGCTGTACGGCTGAAATCGACCAAAATAAGGAAGACGAGATCGATCAAAATTTTGAGTCTTGCAAGCCCTGTGAAAGCAGATGTACGTGACGCAGATGACAATGTAGTCAATGACAGTTGCCGCGGTCGTCAGCGAAATCAGCCAGTCGAGTACCTTTGCCGAAGAGCTCGAAAGCTGCAGCAACGAGAAGAGGGGGAACACCATAACCACGGCGAGGCAGTAAATTGGGGCGCCCTTATTCGTCGTCTTGGTCAGGAAGCGCGGAGCCCTGCCCTCGAGAGCTAGGCCATAGAGCGTCCGCGTTGAACAATAGGTGTAGGCGCTACCAGCGGAAAAGATGGTGGTAGCCAGGAAGAAAGTGACAACATGCGGCAGGATGCCAATACCGAGGTTGCCCATGGCGATGATATACGGCGATGCAGCCGCGCTGCCCGTTGAGCCTCCCTTACCTGTATATATCGCGACGAGAGTCGGGTCCTTATGGCTGACGACGATGCCAGCGGCCAGGGCACTCCCGACAAAGAATATCCAGATGCGCCAGTAGACTGCTTTGAAGGCCGTCTTCACGTAAATACGGGGATGATTGGCTTCGGCGGCCATTATGGAGACGTATTCGGGTCCGACGCAGGTGAAGGATGCTGTCCAAAGAGCAGACAGGAAGCCTTCAAATTTCCCGAGGGGGCCGGTGCTGATGTACTCGGCGAAATAACCGGCGGACCAGGCTCGGAAGCCGTAGGCGTCGTTCTGCGGGTTACCACCTGCCATTGTGATCAGAGTAAAAGCGAGAAGCATCGCGAGGAGAACGACTTTGCCGCTCGAGAGGTAGAACTCAGCCTCTCCGTAAACGCTGACAGCAAAGACGTTGATGAGGCTACAGAGAAGTAATGTCAACTTTCATCTACATCTTGGGGCACTTCGGAAGACGCACCCGTAGAGCACAATACATCCAACACAAATTACATAGACTGGGACCCTGTCGTTCCAGTACGACACCACCAGCGTCAAAGCCACAATCTCAAACGGAATGAGGAAGACTTGGTAGAAGAAGAAGTTCCATCCAGCCATGAAGCCAAATGCGTCATCGACCCATTTCCCCGCAAGTCTGACGAAGCCGCCACTGACGGGCATGTAGATAGACATCTCGGCCATGCAGTTGTTACACAGCGAGAGAATGATCGTGTAGATGGCAAACGCCAGCAGAAGGCTGCCCGGCCCGGAACGCTGGAGGGCGCCGCCCATACTGACGAAGACGGCCGTGCCTATGGAACCCCCGATGGCGACGAGCTGGAGCTGGCGGTTGCTGAGGCGACGGTGGAGGCCATCGCTGACTATGGGTATTTCTTCGGTCTCGGTGCGTCGAGTGAAGTTGTTGGAGGGATCTTCGATTGAGGACTTAGAGACCGCCGTCTGCCCAACGATGGGCTTGGTCGAGTGCGCTCGTGGAGTTGACATGGTGAATAATCGTAGATGAAGGAAGGGTCGGCATAGCGTTCAATGCAAGAACAAGAGGGTAAAAGAATGGGGGTCTTTACAGAACAGAATTTTTCCCAATATCAAGCCATGGGGCCAGCAAGGTGCGAGGCTGATGTTTGAGTTGGAGGCTTTGGTGGAATCCCTTAAGAATGACCATTCTCGGGGGCATTCACAAGATAGCCCAAAACTTTCGCCAAAATAAAGCCTGCAGGATTTGGAGGTGAAATCGTAACTGGATATATGGTACCGAGAGGGAGTGGTGGTCATCTGGGACAACGATGTGCCAGGAATGACTTCTCGTTGTTGGCAGTTTGAGCAATGAGCTTAGATCGACATGATTCATTCTCACACTAAGCCGATGAAGACCAGATTGGTGAACTGTAGCGGAAAGCACTGGACTTGGGCACAGTTTCAGTCCCGCTTACCCTGAGGCCGTGAACCTGTCTTCTCTCTTTAGTCGCGATGGAGATAGATGATTTCACGCCCAACTGATTTCTGATCTTATGATTTCTCTGCTGCTTGAAAAGACCGGATATGGGTGCACTTTGATGAGCCCCGAACTGGTCGCCATCTGAGTAAGATAAGGTCAAAGATAACGCCGGGTCAGGCTCCCGGCCGCCGTGGCTTACCGTCAAAGCAAGCAGCTGGCTGCTGTCATAGTTGCCACTTTGGAAACATTTGGTCATCGCCCCTCAACATTCATCTAGACTGCAGCCAATTAAGTTGGTTCTCAAGTTGCTTTGAGATTATTGAAACCATGTCCGCATCCATTATTCAGGGGAATATTTACCGCAAGGCACCCGCTTTGAAGGTTCCAAGAAATGTTGAGTGCCTGATAGCTATCGATTCACAACTCCTGAAGCAGGAACTTATTTTGGGTGCCTTTGGTATACATGCCAGCAGGGCAGACCTTCCGGCCGGTCCGAAGTTCAGTAATCAAATGTTGAACTATGTAAAATATTAATGTATGAGATGTAGAAGGAGGAAAATAGCGGGCGTAGCCTAAGATGCCTCCGTTGGATGTCATCAGAATGGGCCGGTGTAAACGGACCTTACCACCGCCTTCTCATTGGCCTTTCCTGACCTCATGTTCCCACGGTATTATAATGCGGCGCAGCAAACCACTCCTAGAGCGATGAAGCGCTTTCAGCTATTCATTAGAGTTGGACTAGCCTGCCAGGTTTACGCGACCTGTCAGCGTATTGTACCGGATTTAGTCTCAGTACATGGGGCCTTACGGCCAAGAAACGTTTTCTCTCTAGAGATCCCAGAGAGGTTTCGTCCTCCTCGCTCTACATCCAGATTCCTCATCTGTCGATTTAGCCTTCTAAATCCGAGAAACTTAGCTGGTTGTCAGCACTTCGGATTCGTTTAGGATCGAGTGACAAGAATGAACTAGTCAGCTGGGGTCGATTCAATCAAGGATGTCGTGAAGTCTAAGATGGCTCCTGTTTAGAAATGGACTACTGAAGAGCTACCAGTCTTTGGCCTTGGCCCTTGGGTATCTGTTTGGTAAAGGATTCCGAAACTGGAAACCGTTTCCATCAAGAATAAGATACGAAGGTTTAAACTGAAGTACTTATCCACGTGCTAGGCTCTCGTAAAGTCTGACATAGTCCTCATTTATAACAGAGCCAATAAACTAGAAGTTGGATTGCCAAAAGCGTAGAATTTGACTAGCTTTGGGCAGCCTATTCCATTTGCTTGCCTTTACGAAGTTCTATCGAGACTAGACTAGTGCACGTTTGTCACGATTCTCAATCACTCTGACTTTACACTAAAAGTTTTGCGAAATTACGTCGCTTTTAAAAGTCACCGTGTCCGCTGTGTCCGCTGTGTTCCCTGCATACGGGGGGATTAAAGTTTCACAGCCTCGACTTAGACGGTAGGCGGATCTGTTACGTTGAATGGGTCTTTTTGCTATTCGGAAACCTAAAGCTCCGTAGACTCATGTCAACTGCTAGATTCAACAGGGCACTCCGAGTACTCCGAATAACTTCATGTTCGATACTTGGAAAAATCTGGCTCACAATGTCGAACAATGTTTTGGCCACTGTGAGCTGCACTGCCAAGGATGTAATCGAACTTAAACACATTGCCCACGGCTGTAAGATTGATACAAGTTCGATCATGAGTTCTCAATCACTATAAAAGGTCTCGATTATACCGGCGGAATTGTTGACATTGAAAGAGATCCCAAGACACCGAAGAATCAGACTACTATCTCTTCTTTTTCTACTAGACTCGCTCCTTCCGACATTTCATCTGTCCAAACCATTCTTTTACAAGACATCCTCAAACTCTCACAATGAAGTTCTCTACCGCTCTCTTCACCATTGCCACTTTGGCCACTTCTGTCTTTTCCACGGCTCTTAGCCCCCCCGACAACTCAGCCGTTGGAGCTGTGAACATGGATGTCCGCGAGGTCGCTCCTCTCGACTCGTCCCCCCTTGAAGCCCGTCAGGGCTGCTTCACCCACATCATCCCGGTTCTCAGAATCAACCGAAACAACCGCCGAGACATTCAGGGCGATCTCGACGCCCGTCGCTCTATCGAGTGGAACCCGAACCGTAACGTTCGGGTCATCATCGACTTTTCGTCTACGACCACCCGAAACCGCCAGCTGAGGTACCAGATTACCAATCGATCCCAGCTGTTTGGCGCCGCCATCATTTTCAGCAACTACCAGGACACCATCACTGGCACGGTTAGGGAGACCATCAGAGTCCCGATCGGCCGCGCTACCGGAATGAGTCTCAGCCCGACTCCTACGACCGGTGCCGGCTGCATCGTTCTCGACCGTCTGGATGGCACCTGGTATGCCCAGCTAGAGTAGAGCAATTCTAGCATCGCCGTCCAATAAGGGTAGCACAGGCAACAAACCAACCTGAGTTCTAGCTAGTATCCCTTCCACTCAGTATCGTGGGAGACATGGAGGGGATTCAGTCAATGATGCAAGGACGGAGGGTGGTATTCAACAACTTGGCAACAACCACGGGTTTAGCTTCGTTAACTATGATTATAAAACAGCAAGGCTCTAAGGCTGTGTACTAGTATATGTTGGGAATCTCTTTACTTCGAGCTCTGTCATTTAGTATTAGCATCGTACTTGGTACCGAGAACAAATACAGTCACTATTAGAGAGCTATAAATTCAGGTATTGCCAACTTCGATCTACCAATAATCTTCAAAGAGCACAGTGGACTGATCACCAGGCGCAGTTAACTGTGATAGAGAAGCGAATGAACGAGCTGGAGTAGCTTAAAGGGTCAAACCAGTTAAACAAGGCAGTATCAATAACAAGAAGAAGTATCTATGTACCGTATCGTCGGCGTGCGACAAAACCTTTTTGGTCATTCGCTCCTGGTAAGGGGCTCTCAGTCAGCAAAAACCACTATTGAAGAGTGACATCGCAACGGTGTCCGATGGGCGCAACCACAAAAAAGTTTTCCATCTCCATCATAGAGTCCGTCATGTTGCTAGATAGCTTGAGGCCAGGGCAGTGTTTGAACAAAACAGCAGCCCCCATCCTGATCTCCATCCGAGCGAGGTGCTGACCGATGCAGACTCGCGCACCGGCACCAAAAGGGCAGAAGCTGCTTTTCTGGTGTGGCGTGAGCACAGCAGGGTCCATCCATCGCGACTCGTCGAACCTGAGACACAATTAGAAGGCTGCCCTTACTTCAGAGGAACGACAACTTACTTGAGTGCGTTTGGATAGACATTCTCGTCCCGGTGAAGAGTATAAGCCTGAGTCTCGACTTCCAAGCCTCCAGGAATCTCATAGTCTCCGAACTTGGCGCCTTTGGATGGAACAACTCGCGGTAAGTTGGCTGGGATACTGCCATAGAGGCGGAGAGTTTCATCGATGACAGAATTAAGGAGAGGAAGCTTCTCAAGAAAAGCATCATTTAAAAGGTTGATATCGTCAACAGCAGCGACTTCCGCTTCTAGTCGAGCTTGAAGCTCAGGCCTTTTCAGGACGGCCCAGACAAGGTACGTCAGAGTACCTGCCGTTGTATCTGCGCCGGCAAAGATCAGATTAGACGCCTCGATTTGAATGTAGTTTTCCGTCAGTTCGGCTTTATCTCCGGCATCGCACTCAGCCAAAGCGGTAGCGAAGAGGTTCGACTTATTATCGCGATGTCTCTTCAGGTTTTCGACAGCTCGGCCGCCGTATTCATGGATCGAGTTTCCTGCGTTGAGCATTCGTCGAAGCGACTTGAGTGGGATGTATTGAGAGATCGCATAGAGCCACGGAAGCTCGTACTTCAGAAAACTCCCTATTCCGACTAATTGAAACGTGTCGATGTACTCGTTTTTCTGTTGATGTTCGTTGTCAGTTAGATTCAACTGCAGCAGGTATCACCGGATGATGAAGCAATGTAGTAGCTACACTGGCAGTGAACGTACCTTGCCAGATTCTAGTAACTCGAAGGATTCGCCAAAGGCTAGTTGACCAATCACATCCGAAGTCATAAGCATCAACCAATGGAGTATATCGCAGGACCCGTGGGTGACCTCGCCCTTGATCCTCTCAATCGCCTTCGCAACCTTCTCTCTCACAACTTCTTCGCAGTTCTGACGAAGGCTGGTGGCAGAGAAGGCACGAGAGAAAAGCCTGCGCATGACTCCGTGCTTCACTGGGTCTACTGTGGCAAAGACGCCAATTCCGACGCCTGAATCCCCAACGAACTCCTCATACCATGGCGACTTCAGGAAGCCAGAGCCGATGCGATGGATCGCTACGAAGCCGTCGGGATCTGAGATTGCGACCTGATAGGGCGAGATTCGTACAACGGTACCGTACTTTTCATGGAGAGAGTGAACGTAGTACATTCGTCGGCCGATCGTGGTTTGCCATTTAAGCATGTAATGGGTGATGCGTGTGTACCATGGTCCTGGGATATGCTTGAGAGGGTTGCTCAGCCACAAAGAATACAGCTGGCTCTTTGTTAGAAAGCGTCTCTGATAAAGCA